CCATCAGCCGCTGGTCCGGCCGCAGGCGGCTGTCGGTGGGCGCCACGCCGCCCTCGAGCTCGTTGAGGGTCAGCGCCAGCTCGGAGAAGTAGTACATGTTCTCCGCGTTCTCCCTGTGGGGACGTGGGCGGGAATGTGCTGTCCCCGCGGCGCCGCCCCTGCCTGCCTGGCCCAACTGCTCGCAGACCCCACTCCCTCCTGGCCCTCCCGCATCCGGAGTTCCCTTTGGTTTTGGCCGACCTTTCCCCGGTCCCGTGTCCATCCATGATGAACTGACCCTGCAAAAACCCACCAGCTGCATCCATCTTACCCATTATGGATCGCGCTGCCCCCTAACACAAGGCTCCCTGAACTCCATCTGCTCTGTTAGCAGAGACTTCTTGGGAACCTGTCCCTTTCATCTAAAAAAAATTTTTTGGTACTTGGGATCAAACTCAGGACCCTGCAGGCACCCTGCCTGGCAGGCGTGGTGCCACTGTATCCCTTGCAGACTGTGTGTGTGTGCGCGTGCGTGTGTGTATATATGTGTGTGTGTGTATGTATGTATGTATATATTTGGGGGGTACTGGGGAGCGAACTCGGGACCTTGCGCTTGTGAGGCAGGCGACAGAACCACTTTTGTGTATGTTAGATATTAAAAAATGTGTCTGGGCCATTGTGTTCTCTCTTGCATGGTGGCCCACATGCAGGGTGGGTGTACTTGTTTTCCTACTTTTTACTTGGCCCAAGCTTGCTGTGCAGTCTGTTTCTTTTCCTACCTTTAATAAAACTTTGGTACTATATTACAAAAAAAGAAATTCGTCTGAATATTACACTTACAATGGGAGCAAGTAATTGTAATTACAGGTTGAGTATCCATTATTCAAAATGTATGGGACCAAAAGTACTTGTAGTTTTAAAAATTTTGTACTTGTGTAGTGAGATATCTAGGGAATGGGACCCCAATCTAACATGAAATCCACTTACGTTTCAGTTTAAATACAGTATTTTGATTTCATATGTATTCCTGACTGTGACTTGCCACAGGCTAGGTGTGGCATTTTCCACTTATGGTGTCATGTTGATGCTCCAGACTTTTGGAGTTTGGAGCATTTCAGATTTTTCGGATTAGAGATTCTCAACTTGTACTGATATATTGGATTTAGATCTACGGTCTTGTTTTTCCTTTCTGTTCTGTCCTATCCTTTTGTTGGACTGCAGGCACACATTTCTTCTACAGTACAAGTGGAACTACTGGGTTATGGTGTAGTGTGATAGTTCATCTTCAAGAAGAAAGACGGGCGCTGAGGGTGTGGCTCAAGAGCAGTTCATCTGCCCAGCAGCATCGAGGCCCTCTGTTCAATCTCCAGTATCCAAAGTGGCTGCACCTCTTTATATCCTCACTAGTGGTGTTTAAAGGGATACTGAGGATCCAAACCTTTAGCCCTTGATATTGTCAGACTTAGTCATTTTTGCTAATTAAATGAAAGTAAAGCAGTATCTCATTGTGGTGGCTTTGATTAGCATTTGCCTGATTACCCATGACGTTGACCATGGTTTTCATGTGATGACTGGCCATATACAGTATATTTCTGTGAAATTCTTGTTCATGACTCTTGCACATTTTTTCCATTGGGTTGTTTTTGTTCTACTTGTTGTTTAGAAGGTTTTAAAATGTATTATTATTATTATTATTTTTTGAGACAGAGTCTCACTGTATAGCTGTGGCTAGCCTTGAACTTGCTATATAGCCCATGGTGGCCATTGAGATCCTCTTATATCAGCCTTCTGAATGCTGGGATTATGATATGCACCTCTATACCTGACTTTTAAATTATTATTATTATTTAAAATTATTTTTTGTACCGGGGATTGAAGTCGGGACCTTGTGCCTACAAGGCAGGTGCGGTGCCACTGAGCTAAATCCCTGGCCCTTAAATTATTTTTGATTGTGATAAAATACTGTAGTATTATTTTAGGGGGGCCTCTAGAGATTACACCGAAAGGGTCATGCATATTAGGCATTATGTTCCATTACTAAGCTACATCCTCAACTCTTTCTTCATACTAATCCTGCTGTCAGGCGTAGGTATTATGATTACCTTCTCCAGGTTATACACTGTTTTATCATTGTGGTGGATTAGCTAATGGTCAATTTAGGAATGCCCAGCTGAACCCAGTCAGCATGGTTCTGGGCAGGGAAGACCTACCTGACCACTGTTGCTAACGGCCTAAGAGGAGAACCGGAGGGGAAGATCGTATGCTGTTGATTTTCCTGAAGAAGTTTGCCACAGCTGGCCTTCTTGATATGAACGCAGCTGTTCTCATGGTCAGAGAGGCTTGGGTCCTCACTCGCCATGGATAGCTGTTGTTCTTTTCAGGGGAGCTCTGGTCTTTGCCTTGAGTGTTCCTTCCTGGCTGCAGTGCAGATCCCTCAGCCTGGTGGCGCGGATCCTTTACCCTGCCGGCGCAGACTCTCTGCTTCCACCACTGGCCTCTGGGCCTTACTGTGCAGATCCTCCATAAGGACTTGCGTGAGACATTGCCGTGGGCTCTAGGCCTTCAGCTGGATTTGTGCAAGATATTGTTGTAGGATCCAGGCCCTCAGCTGGATTCTTTGGTCTCTAGATCTCTTCACTCCTCTGCATTTTTTTGTGAATATTATAAAATAACCCTATGAATTATGTGTCCTCTATTAAATCTATTCCCTTGTAAACCCTGACTACAACAATCACTTTCTTTAAATTGCTTTTTATTTTGAGACAAGGTCTTGATGGGTAGCCAAGGCTGGTATTGAACTTGCAGCAATCCTTCTGCCTCAGCCTCTCGAGTGCTGTATACAAATAAATTGCCTTTTAATAAGTGAAATTTCTCTCTTTTTGTAGTTCTAAGGATGGAACCTAGGGCCTTACTCAAGCTGGGGAAATACTGTACTTCCTCTATTTTTATTGTTGAGACAAGATCTAAGGTGCCCAAACTGGCCCTGAATTTGGCAATTCTCCTGCCTCAGCTGGGGTTACAGCCATGCACCATCATACCCAGCTACAATATTTCTTTTAATGAACAAAAGCTCATAAACTTTTTGAATGTTTTGATATACTTAAATGCATCAATGCTTTTCTGAGTCTTGTTTAAAATGTAATTCCTTAAGGTCTAGTAGCTACTCCTCTATATTTTTAAACTTAAAGTATTAACTTTATTGTTTAACAGTAAGACAGTATTAATTGTGGAGTTGATTTTTGTTACAAAGCGGGGATTCAGTTTCTTTTTCTATTTTGTTGCCACCTTAGTCATATATCAAGGATACATTGAGCCATGGGACTGTTTCCAGGCTCACTATTCCATTCCATCTTAATTTCAAAATAAGTCCTCAAATGTAGTAAGGTAATTTCCATTTTTTCCAGAAACCCCTTATTCAGCAATATATATTAAAACATTCTAATACGAAGTTCTGTGAAAATCCCTACTGGGATTTTGTTCAGCCTGCTGACTTTTTACATCATGACATCGTTACAATACTGACTTTCGAGCCATGAACAATTTATCTTCTCCATTTATTCAGCACTTCCTTTGATAGTTCTTAGTGAATTTAATACTTTTTGCTCTAGCAATCTTGAATATAAGGATTATTACAAAGTCCTTGATACTTTTGATGTGATTGGTATCTTGTGAATTGCATTTTCTAGTTGTTTGCTGTTTATGGGAATGCGATTGACTTTTGTATATTAATCTTATATATAGGCACCTAAAATGCTTTTTCTAAATGTATTGATGACAATATAATTTATGAATTTTCTAATAAAAATATTCTTTCAGAGTCTAGATATATTAATGACTAAATTGTTATCTTTTTAATACACCATTGGATTGGATTTTCTGAGATCTTGTTTTATAATTTTGCTTATATAAGTGAAATGGGGTTAAGAATTTTATTTTCCTGCTACTATCTTAGCTGGTGTATGAAGGTTATTTTGGCCTCACAATGTAAGATAAAAGAGCACTTCCTCTTTTTTGTGCTTGGGAAGACTATATATAATACTGGTTAACATTTTTTGAGATTTTTATGAATTCACTTGAAATGTTATCTGGGCCTAGTGCTCTCTTTGTGGTAATTTAAAACTACTGTTTATTATAGGAGTATTTGGGAATTTTATTTTTCTAGAATTAGTTTTTCTAAGTAATGTTTTTCTAAGAATTTGTTCTTCCCACCTGAGTTTTAATTATCTATCTCTCTCTCTCTTTTTTTTTTT